TTTGACCGTCACATTATAAGCCCCCACGGCTGAAAGGGCGAGCATGTTTGGTGGGACGGGGATTCGAACCCGCGACCCTCAGATTGCGAGTCGAGTGCTCTAACCACCTGGCCTTGCCGGCCACTTAATGAAATAGTAGATTCGAGAACGTTTGAACTTTTAACGCCATGAGCCTTTATTATTCGTCATTTACGTAGTTATTAATCTGCCTTCTTTTGTGAAAACACAATTAATTTCATTTCCTTTTGTGGACTCTTTAACAAAATAAAGAGAACGTAGTCTTGGAAACAGTTTCTCTAACGTTTCATAAAAAGTTTATTCTAGAACTAATAATCGGAAGAAAATAGGTGATAATAATTATAGAGACTGTTCCACTCTTTTCTCGAATTGTTTTTAATTACATATTGATAAATACTTATAGATTGAACAACAGTAAACACGCATCTAATGTTAATAGCGCACACATTCTATAGCTTATTGACATGCCTTATGTTCGTCAATATAATATTAATTTTCCACCGCACTGATGTAAGCAAAAGTAAGACGAACGTATATCAAACTTCTACTATGATAAAACTTTTATGAGTTTTATGGTATCACAAAATCTTTACAAAAATAGCCATCTCAAACACTGTGCATTATATATATATATTTAAAGTGCTATTTTTACATTGTCCCAACATAAAAGAAACAGATAAACTAAGGACAATCTGTAAGTGTTTAGCCATGCTTGTAATATCAGTACCATGAAAAGGTGGTAATTGATTCGTCATGAAGTTGGGTGGTTATAACTTCATTACCGTAAAAGGTTAGGGGTTGTTTCATTTTGAGTTCTTAGCTGTCTCGTCGAGTTGCTGGTACCAAGGTGCATTGGGATGCATGAAGAAAAAAATTATTTTGGAAGTTGTAAATCAAAGGAGTGTTCAGAAAGTGTAGAAAACTTTCTTCAGAGATTTAGGGATAGAAATAGATGCAAGGCCTTTTCGAGAATAAAGATTTGGAAAGATCCAATGCTGAAATGAAGATTATCAAGGCATTGTTTAGGTATGTAGGTTGGACCTCATTATCAAGGATATTGTTACGACAGCGGAAGTCTTGTGACGCTAGTAACACGTCATGAGATTCTAGAAAGATCATGTCTGTTCGTGGCAACTCTAGTCTTTTCTACGCGACCTCTATTTTTGTATATATATAAGTCGGCAAATGAAGTAACGGAAAAAAAGATAATTGCAGACAGGCAGAGATAGAGACGGACAATTGAGTCAAGCGCGGTAGTGACCGTAAGAAAAGTGCGTGGATCGTTGTGAATTATAGCGTGTGTTGAAGTTAAAGTGACTGTGGAAATTAAGTGTATTGCAAAGTTGAATTGAGAAAGAATAAACTAGTTTTATTTAAGAAAGGACTTGTGTCGCTAAGGTTTCATCGGAAAGAAATTATACGGGAAATTAACAAACGACCAGAGACGTAACAATATGTTTAGAGCAACAAGTGAGCTGGTTAGAACACTGACTACGATTGTATGGGTCCAAGTAGCGAGAGAGAGAGAATTTCCTTGAATTGTATCAAGATGGTTTTCTATACCAATTGGTCAGAGAGCCTACCAGAGTGGATGCTATTTTAGAATTACTTTTAACCAGTAATGAGATTGTGACTGCAAAAGTTGAAGTAAAGGAAACTTCGAAGAAGATTGATCATCGTGTAATTAGATTTAATGTTTGACTACATGTTGGGATAAAAAGAAATGAAGTTTTAGTTACTAATTTTCTGAAAACCAGTTTTGAGGCCATAAGACAAGATTTATCAGTTATGAACTGGGACATTGAGTTGAAAGATGATGTGAGACAAAATTGGAAAGTTATTAAAAAATAAAGTGCCTTTGTTTATAGATAAGTATGTTTCTAAAAAGAGGAAAAGGATAAGAGAGAATATCAATCCTAATTCGCTCACATTAAGGAGAAAATCAAGGATAAATAGAATAATTTTAAACTGAATAGAATAAAATAGAATAACTGACTATTTACATAACTGTATAAAATCTAGGGATCTGGTTCAAAAAGAAATTAGGTACCTCAAAAGGGCTTATGAAAAACAGCCGGCTGATAATGTTACATCTAACCGGAAGTATTTTTATGTATATTAAAAAAAAGGTCAAAATTCGGATTAAGCCCTTAATGAATGTAGGTGGCAAGATTTTTGTCAAATACTATGATATTTCTAAGCTTTCGAATGATTTCTTCATTTCATTTGTACAAAATAGGATGCTAACAATATTTCCAACCATGAAAATTTCATGATTGAGCTGAAACATGTAAATATCACACTCTTTGATTTAAAAAAAAAAAGAAACTGGGAGGTTAAAAAGGGATAAGTCCGCCAAGACTAGATGAATAAATGAAGATTTGCGCGAGCATCTTAAAACATCGTCCAAAAACTTCCTAGGTAGATGCAGTCCATTAACAATTAACTGTTACAGATTAGTATGTTATGTTGAAATAATTTTGAAGCCTCACCACATCGTTACAGTCCATTTTGCCACGTCCGTTCATGATCTATCTGACAATCGTGCATCTTCACAATAGCTCTGCAGCATAATATCTATAGTAAAAGGCTCCGCCAACAGGCTGTTTTGTCCTAAGCAGACCACTCTTCCCGCCACGTTTTCTATAATATATTTAGTGTACAAAGACAACAGTTTCCCAGCGCCCGATTCAACAGTCCAATCATACAGAAATTCATAGTCGCAGCTGTGGAATAGCATTGATACCCTTTTCATTCTCCAGCTGCTAGAAGTACGTGATGACTCAAGTCACGTGTACACAAGTCGCTTCCACGATATATCCGTTTTTCGTCACGTACTTCTAGCAGCTGGAGAATGAAAAAATGACTCAAGTCACGTGTACACAAGTCGCTTCCACGATATATCCGTTTTTCGTCAAGAATAATCTCCATCGTGAAAGGGTCGAACCCGTGGTTAGCGTGCTGGACTATGGGTTCCGATGTTCCGTGTTACCGCCATAAAAAGCTCGCGCTACGCACTTTGAGGTCATGATGCATTTAAAAAGTAATGGTCAAATACCAGTTTTTGATTAGAGTATCCCATGAGTTGGCGGTGGATGGTGTTGACTACTTGCCTTCCTTCTAGTTTATCACTTCCAAATTAGGGATGGTTAGTGCAGATAGCCCTCTAGAAGCTTGGTGCAAAAATCAAAACAAAAAGAACAACCGTCTGAAAAAAAAACATTAATTACCATTCTGTGGTAATCTAGCTACGGGGTAGCCAAGAATAACACTAAAAGAAAAAAAACTGTTTTGAATTAGAAAGGCCAGTGGAACGGAATGTAGCAGAACTACACTAGTGCTAATGATGTGTGTTCGCTTATGGGAAATATATGTAACAACCCTTTCCGACGCAAAATATTCATAGACTCAAAACATAATCATGTGTTCAGATTGAGGATATAGAATTTTCAAGAGGAAGATATCCCTTGTACTTAATGCCACTGGATAACAAATTAATATGGACCTACTTATGGCACCAGCATCATCCAGGCATGTAATAATTCGTACCGAAGCCATGGTAAGCAAAGTGCGGCGTGTCGGAACAAGTAAGAATACATGGACACAATGATCAGTGGCAAAACCCGTCCTCGTGCCGTATGTAAGAGTACGCAACAGAGGTTTTCCACTGTTTTGAAACTACGAACACAAATCGCTTGGCCATACAATGTTAAAAATATTAAAAACTACAACCACAGTCGAACCTTGGCTTAAGAAAAACTAAAACTGCGCAGCAGTGATGGTCATGTGTCATTACCTTTCAACTATAATAAAACTACAAAGAGATAACTCATGTGATCATACGTTCAGTAGCTATAAACCTATGCAGCACAAAACTCCTATGGCTTATCTTGTAGTTACTATGTAATTTATATTCATCAAGGTAAATTGTTAATATATCTAAAAGTTTCTCATCCCCACATAAACATTCGTTAATTAAGGTTATTTAATTTAATACTATATAGAAATGACAAGAAAGCTTAATAAAAGTCAAACTACTTAAAACTCAATCTAAGTACCATAATTGGAGTAATTTTTGATTTTAACCTAAAAATTATTAGATGTCAGTTCTATCACTTATGTTCTCACTGTTCCAGAAAGTGTTGTTATAATGATCTGCATAACCATTTCACCAAACTTGAATAAAGCAAAACAAAATTTTAATTCTGTAGTTGACAAAAAGCCGGTGGAGGAAACTTTGTGGTTTCCCACCATATGTTCGAGCACAAGGTCGTTAAAAAACTACCTTTTAATTGTTGTGATACTGAAAACACATAACTCGTATGACTATAAAATCAGCAATTAGTTGAATAATTTTAATCTAAGAGTATGTTATTATTTACCAATATTTTAAATCTTTCCAAACAATTGTTTTGCGCAACGGGTAAATTCTCGATTGTTTATTGTTTTAATAAGTTCTTCTCCTTCTTGTACCCTTAATCCCATTTTGGTATAGAATCAGCCGTTCACGTTTTACTTCTCCATAGATTACTACCCTGTGCATCATTTTTAGTTGCACCAACCTCCCTCATATTCCTGTCTGCCACGTTTCTACATGTATTATCTATCTTTCCTCTAATTCTTCGTCCCTCTGTTGGCATTTCCAATGCACTTCTCACTACACATCCTTCTTCACTTCTAACTGCATGTCCAAACCAATCTCAGTCTTGCTTCTCTTGCTTTTCCTGTGATCTTACACGTTCCAACTCTTTTCATGATTTTATCACTCATTATGCTTTCTCTCAAAGATATTACCAGCAGCCATCTTTAACATTATCATCTCAGTTCTTTCTAAACTACCCTCCTCCTCCTTTCTTCTGATGGTCAAAGTTTCTTCTCCATAAAGTAGAAGTGGTCTACCTACTGTTTTTTATTTGCTCTTAAGTTTCAGCAGTATTTTATTCTCAAGAATAACCTCTAAAAATTCCCTCCATTTATTTCATCCAGCTTTTACTCTTTCCCTTACTTCTTCTTTACAGTTTCCTTCCTCACTAACGTTGGAGCCTAGATACCGAAATTTACTTGACTTTCTTTTATCTACAACTCTTCTCCCTCCCCGCTGCTTAGCAATACTTCCCGTATTTACCTTTAACCCACCTCTCTCTCTAGAGTTTCCTGCCTCATCCTGCACCTCTCCTGCAACCCTTCCTCTATCTCGTCTGTTATAACCAAATCGCCCACAAACATAAGGTACCAAAGCATTTCTCTCCTTGCCTTCTTGGTGTACACCTTCTTTTGCATCGAACTCTTCGGTTCGTCCTTGTTCTATTCTTACTGCTGTCTTTGCTCCACCAATTTTCCTGGGGCTCCCTTCTTCCAATAAACAATGTCTCTTGGCACTTCATCGTATGCTTTTTCCAAGAATATAACGTACTAATACAGTTTTAAGACTAACGTGGTATCAAAATATGTGCATGATTTATTGTTTGATTTTGTGAACAACCGCATTGAGCTATCTGGGCTCTGTCCACCGCTGGAAATCGAGTCCCATATCTTATCAATGTTTGTTTTA